AGACCCTGTAGACCCTGTACCAAATACATACATATATACATATATACCTACATACATAAATTAAAATAAATAAAATTACCATCATTACAGCAGTCTAGGTAGGGCTGATGGGCCAGTCCCCTCCACTCACCAGAACCTATGCAACAGGGCCAACTGCCCTAACCTTGATCCTAGTCCTATTAGATGGAGGTAGAAATAAAACACATGCATGCCAGAGTTTCCTGCATGACCTACAGTAACCTTTCTTCACTTGGAGCTCACTGAAGATTCATGCACACAGACAATACCTCATACATCCAACTATAACACCACGAATTATGGGAAACACCTGACATGACCAGCACCCGTCAATCACATTGCCCAGCATACTCTGGAAGATTCAATATGAGGTGCTCTAGGTACCACACAACATTTTAAATTTTTAAACCCAACACGGTGAAGCACTCCTGCCATTGCCCTCTCTAGCTATATGAGCCATCTCACTCTGAGTGACTGTGTCACCAAACTAAAACTCTGCTGTTTCTCTTCACTGTTGTGTGTCACATCCAATTCTTTGTTGCAAACAAGAACCTAGAAACCCATGGGGGGGATACCATCACCTACAATAACAGTAGCATATTTGTGTTGCTACAGAAATATAATTGTTTTAAAATATCATATTAATAGGTAAAAAAGTGAAATCAAGTATAATCACTTGAAGAAACTTTTAAAATGGATAAAATTCAATAATTACTACCAATTTTAAAAGGGATTAGGATTCCTTAATGTGATATTTTAAAAATAAGTAAAACTTGTACAATTTTTCATTAATGATAAAAACAATACAAGGATTTTCATTAAAACCAGAATTAAGGGGCTGGGGAGATAGCTCAGTAGAATAAGCACTTGCATAGCAAGTGCAGGGTCCTGAGTTCAATCCCTGGTACTGAAAAAAAAAATTAAAACGGGATAGTATCCAACTATTCCATTTTTCTAGAAGTTGTAACAAAGAAAACACTGATGAAGGCAAAACCACTATTAGTTGTGGGTATATTATTTCAACAGATCAACCAGGAAAATCAAATTATAGAACTGAATAAAATTCAGTAAATTTTTTGAATATAAAATAGATAAACTCAGATAAATACCTTTACTACAAACCAGAAAGAATCAGCTGGAAAAGACAGGAAATATAATTGGAAAACAGCTCGATCATAAAAGGAAAGAAAAGACTCAGAAATAATCTTCATAATAATTTTAGCATGATCTGTTATGAAGAATACCATATACCTTATTAAAGAAAATAACAGAAAACTGATTTAATATAGAAAAAACCATCATGATCCTAGAAGGAAAGATATAACACTATTTTTTTAAGTTGAGAAGGATTTTTTTGGGGGGGGGGCATGGCTCAGGCTGCCTTACGGGTTGGTCTTATTAAGGTGTGGGGAGCTAGGTATCAAACCTAGGTCCCTTGTACCTGACTATGTTTGCATGAGCAGGCACTTAAACAACTGAGCTAACCCGCAGGCCCCCAATATAATATTATTTTTAAAATCAATTATTTACAAATTATTTTCAAGATTTATTGTAATTCTAAACCCTAATGAGATATTTGTGGAACTTGGCAATATTAAAGATATATCCAGGGCCAGGGAGATAGCTCAGCAGCATAAGCACCTGTCTACCAAACACAAGATCCTGAGTTCAATCCCTTGTAATGGTAAAAAAAGAAAAAAGACATATCTGGAAAAATAAACCAGAAAAAAACAGCTAAGAAATAGCTGAAAAAAAATTTTTAAAAAGAAAGATACACAAGAGACTTAAACATTTTATAAGGTAAAAAAAAAAATAATAATGCAATGTAGGGGGCCTGCCCCTTAGCTCAGTTCTTTAAGTGGCTGCTTCAACAAAGCTGTCAGCCTGAGGTAGCTGTGGTTCGATCCCCACAACTCAAGCCAGCCAAACCTGCCCTGAAGGCATTCAGAGCAATAATAATAATAATAATAATAATGCAATGTTGATTGAAAAAAATTAAGAAGTCAACGAAACTGAAAAGACAACTCCCAAATAGTCTGGAGTTAATAAATTTAATAATCAAGGTTGCATCACAATTCAATGAGAAATGCCTTAATAAATATTTTCAGCTAATTATTTGAGAAGAAATAATTTTAATTCATTACACATCACGTATCAAATACCCCAAGACAGAATAAAGAATACCCTGCTCACAGAGGACCGACATTCTGCTATGGAAGTGTTCCCCGGCACAGCTACCGTGCAAAGCAGGCTGGGTCCGTCTACCAAGAACCTGAAAAAAGTCTGTGTGGTTCGGTTCTACAATCC